TTATTTCACTAACCTTTTCTTCACTCCTTCTCTTAGTCTTTCCTGCTAACAAAGTAGCTAACAAATATACATCTAACATGTATAATATAGATAACATATATATATATATATATATATATATATATATATAATATATATATAATATAAATAACAAATATATAACAAATATACAATTAAAAATAAGAAAGATCGCTCATTCCTTCGATTTCACTGACTTCCTTTTTTTAATCATAATTTCAATGTCTTTTACCAGCTCTTTCTGAAGCTACTCGAGCAAAACAATAATAAGAATATTAAGAATGATAAGAAACTTTATTATTCGCTTTGTATTGTTTTTTTTTCATCGGAATTTCAACTTCTTTCACTAGCACATATACATTCTTTTATCTAATTTGTCCCTTTTTATCAGCGTTTAAACATCTTTTCCCAATTCTTTTCTCCAGCTGCTTCCCATGTTTAGTCTGATGCCTTCCAGTGTCCATTCACAAAACATTCTCCTTCTCCTTCTCCTTCCTTTGTATTGGTTCCTTTTCATCTAAATTCCAGCCTCTTCCCCTAACAAAACCTCCCTTTCTTTGCTCCAGGAGGTAATCCTTTTGATCAAATCTTCAACATTTTTCACTAACGAATATTTCTTCTCACCCTTCCTCCCTTACCCCCTTACCCCTGCTCTTATTCCCCCATTTCTTCCCTCCTCCTTGCCCCTCCTCCCTATTTTTTCCGTCCTCTCCCCCCTTCTGTTCCCCCTCCTCCCTTCCTTTCTTCTTCCTTCCCTCCCGCTTTCCCTTCCTAATCCTTCCTTCCTCCCTTCCCCCATACCCCCTTCCCTCTTCCCACTCTCTTCCTATTCCCTCCCTACTCCCTCCTTCCCTCTCCCCCTCTTCCTCCCATCCTTCCATCCCTCTTTCCCCCTTCCCCCTTCCTCCCTTCCCCTCTTCTCCTTCCCCTCTCCCCCCCCTAGCGCCAGCCGGAGGACGCGTCTGGCGGAGGTCGGGCGCCCTGGGGCTGTCGGCTGTGCCAGGCTTCAAGAGGTCGGCTTTCCGGGCCAACAACATGCAGGCTCAGCGCGCCAGGAACCAAGACGTAAGGCTTCGCGACCCTTTGTTTGTTCTTTCTTGTGGATGTGTGGTGCCGGCTTGCATGCAGGTGGATGGCAAATCACTGAACCATGTTGACGTAAAGGTAGAGGAGTCTACGCTTATACAAACATGCGTAGCGAACCTGCAAATACACACGCAACGCATACAAAAAAAAATCAAACAATAATCTTTTTATCCTTTCCATGGCACGACAAACCGACAGAACTAGATAATGATGATACAGATGAAAGGATCAAGCAGATAACTAACGATTATAAATTTTCCCTCAGGATGACCTGTACTCCCTGGCCGCCATGCTGGGCGCCGAGCTCGACCCCGTCACTCACCGCATCCAACGCGCCGCTATGTAGACCTGAGGACCTACGGGAGGCGCTCTAGGGATGCGAAACGGCCCACTGGGTGTTGGCTTGGCCCTGGGGGAGGGGGGAGGGGAAGTGTCCCTCAGGGTGACGAGAATCTCCTGGGGGTTCTGATAAGAACTAGGAGGTTGACTTGGGTTTCTCGAGGAAGCTGAAGAAATGGGGAAATGGGTACATGGGCAGGGGATTGGGTGCTGCCGGATTATCTTAGCATTCCTCATTCATGGACAGATGTGAAGATGGCAGAGAAGTAGAAGAATGGTGGATAGAAATAGAGGGATAACGAGTGTGAACATAAAATCGTCCTCGTGCATGTGATGCCCTCACCAACTCAGGGTGTCGCTTGTGCTCAAGATGAGAGAATAAGTTACTCTAGGAAATGTATTCATCTTAATTCATGGGTCTTTTCTTTTTCGTAGTCTCGACAGTTAATTCATATTTGCGTTGTGAACCTCATACTAACCCCTCAATCGTTTTTTTCTCTCTCGCGGATTCCGCCACGGGGGTACTAACATCCGGGCAAAAATGGGCACGAAAAGACTGGCCTGAGAATCTTGACCCTTCCCCCAGGACGCTCTAGATGGACCCCTCCTCCAAGGACCACCTCAGCACCCGCGTCAGCATTTGGGTCTCGTCCGCACGCCTGGTCTGACTTCGGTCCTTTGCTTTCCCAAACAAGAATTTTGAGATCCTCGTTCAGTCAGTGTTAGAGAAAATAAACAAAAAAAGATAATAATGATAAAACGATAAAAAAAAATCAGTATTACCATTGTAGGTCCTCCAGCAGGCCGCTAGTTAGTGATTTATTGCAGCACAAGGTTTTCATTAGCATTAGTAGGTTACAAGTTTCAATAGACATTCATAACCTGCAATGTATAACACGTCTTCAAGAGTTGCCTTTTCCTGCGCAAGGTGATAAACATTTGGTGTTCTAGGCTGAGTGCTTCTTTCTTTTCCCGTCAGTATGTTGGTGTGTCGTTTTCCTATGATTCCCTGCGGGTTCATCACAAACGTTCCGGTCGAGAATGGCTAACCAGCTGA